TAAGATTAGTACCACATAGTCTAGGTGTGTGGTAGGCTATATCATCTAGGTTTGTGTAAGTACACTCTGTGATGTTCGCACAATAACAAAATCGTCTAATGATGCATTTCTCAGAACGTATCCCGTTGTTAAGTGATGCATGACTGTATCTACCTGGTTAAACTTTCTTCCCCTTCTCACTCACATATTTTGGTATCTTGCAAGAAAATCTTTGGAATGTAATGTGTGTTTATGTTATATCCTGGTTTGCCTATGCTTGACAAATGGGAGGCCCTGGAGGCAGATAGCCTAGGCTGACCTTCTGTCTCTGCCACTACTGACTGCATGATTTTGAGCAAGTCATTAAATCTCCGCCTCAGTTTTCTTATGGGTAAAATGGAAATAATAGAAGGATACACGTTATGGGGTTCAGGTTGGAATTAAATGAAAGTATAGATTTGAAGGACTTGGAAGAATGGCACATGATAAGCCTTCAAGAAAATGTAAGCCATTATTTTTATTATTATCATTATTATTTAATTATATCTCATTATTTTTAAAACTTTGAGACTGATACTATTTTTATGCAATTATAGATCAGTTAGAATAATAAGAAGCCCCCTAGAAATTTATTTTTGTTTGTTTTACATCATCTGCTTGGAAAAATTCTTCCCTTAAATAAATAATTATGTTTTGAGTCATCATCTTCTTGTTTATGAGTCTTTGATTCTAACTTTTAGTGCATGGGAAGTAATTAGAGATTACAGAAAGGCTGTACATGGTATTTTTAGCTGGTCCCAACCACAGATATTGAGTAGGTGCTCTCTCCCACCCCATTTTGGGTTATATAATGATTAATAAAACACAACAGGGTGTGAATTAGAATGGAATGACTTATATTTCTTCAGAATAGTGTTAGGCACAAATCCAAGTGTGTAATGCTTTTTAAAATATTTATAAATGACTATCCCATAATTTAAGTTGTTGGGTGTGTATTTTGGTGTTTTTAGTTATTAGGCAATAGAATATTATTTTTAAAATAAAAGTTCGCTCCTTAGAAATTTCTCCAAATATCATATGCTTTACTTTTGAATAAACTGCTAAGATTTTACCCCCAAATCTATATCTCATTTTACATAACCTGATCTCAGATTTTGAATCTTGAAACAGTCCAATATATGCTATTTTAAAATCATAGCTGCTTTTCTGTTTTTGAAAACACTGTAGAAGGCAACTGACCTGCAATTTCAGAGTAAAGCAAATGACAGCAATTGGAACACTTACCACAGGAAATGCATTATGTACAACAGAATATGTGTAGGACAAAAGTGGTGCATGGATTGTCAACTGCTGTCATGGAGAGAAGCTGGTTTCTATCCATTCTTAGGTTGAGAAAGGAAAATGCGCAAAACATTGTAAATGTGCCAAAGTGGAGGAAATAGTTAAAGAAACGGTGCTGTATCCACCCCTGAAATTCTATGTTGCTATTAAGAATAATGTTTTTGAAGCGTATGTATTAAGTTGGGAAATGCTTATCATATGTTAAATGAAATAAGCTGTTGACAAAACGGTACTACAACATTTCGGTTCAATAAAATACATAGTACGTAAGTTTTATTTAATGCTGGGTTAAGCCTGGAAGGACATATACATGTTACTTACAAAGCAATGATAATCTCTGAGCAACAATATCATGGGTGATTTTAATGTATGGACATATTTCTGTAGTTTTCACAATTCCTATAATAAACATGCACTCCTGAAGGTGACCTACCAGCATTAGCGATGTCCAGGATAATTAGTTAGAAGCAGTTCTAAGAAAAGATGGTCGCTAAAGTGCCACTGTATTGAATTAACATGAAACAAAACTTTGTAAAACAATGTCTGTCTCTAAGCATTACCCACATTTATTAGTAGAATAGGAAATATATACCATCCTTTTGTAAACACTTGACTGGAACCAGACACTATGCAAAGCACATTATACATATGATTTCCTTAATCCTCACCACAACCTTATGAAGTAGAAGCAATTATTATTCCCACTTTACAGATGAGGAAACAGGTTAGAAAGCAAATGTGACTTGCCAAAAGTCATTTTATTAGTAACTGGTACAGCTGAGATTCTGCTCATGTCTGTCTAATTTCACAGTTCATGATGTTAATAACTACCCTGGAATTATTAATTCGTATCTACACTTTATATTTAATTTGCATGTAGAGATCTAAGCCATAAAAAAATTCTTGGTCGTAGCAACACATAGACTTACTCATAAATGCCAGTGGATTCAAAGATTTTGGAGGAGTGGAATTCTATGGAAACCAGGAATAATCAGCTTGAGGCTAAAGAATACAATATACTGACTTTTGCTTGAAAGATGGAGACTAACAGCTCTCTTGCCTGAAACTACCACATTAAAGTGCTGAGAGTTTCCAAAGTCGAACAAACTTGTTCCGAGAGACAAAATATTACCAATATGTGGCTTAGCTTCTCCCAGAGACTCAGGGCCAGATGCCATTTCCTCCTCTGCCAGCATAGACAGTGCATTGCTCTTTGTGTCTTGCATCCAAATCCTAAAGGCAATTCTATTTCTAGATCATTAGAGATAAAAAAATGAACTGAAACAAAATGAAGATTTATAGTTTACAGACTCAATGCTTTGTTTGCAAGAGAACATGAGAAACCATCATGGTTTTATGATGTTTATTGGCTTCTAAGGCCAAGAGTTTCCTCCTGAAAGAGGATGGAACAGGCTTTCTAGTCTGGCTGTCTGCCTTCCCTGCATTTGAGTTGCCTTACTGTTTTGACTGTGATCTAGAAGAAGGAAATAATCATTGTGCAGCTTTCCCAACCTCAGCTCCATTGACATGGGGCGCCGGATAACTCTTTGTTGTGGGGCTATCCTGTGCATTGCAGGATGTTTAGCAGCATTCCTGGCTTCTATCCACCAGATTCCAGCAGCATCCCCCTAGTTGGAACAAATGTCTAGATCAAAATGTCTTCAGACATTGCCAAATGGCCCCTGAGACTTGCCTTGATTGACAACTGCTGATCACAGTGTATTTCCAAACCTGGCTTTTTCACATCTTTTTTTTTTGTCTAAAAAAAGCTTGACCTTTCTACGGTACAGAATAGGCAACTGTCCACGCCACATGAGTTTGTCCCTTTGGCTATGGTTGATTAAGCAGAGGTTGACAGATGACTTGAGCTGGAACAATCATATTTAGTCTTTTCAGAGAATGCATTTAAGACACAGGAATTGATTCCAATATATTTGGATTATACCATGATGCTGAGTGAGATCAGAGTTGGCACCATGCAAATAAAAGCCTCACATGAGTCCCTAAATTATGGGGGAGAAAAGCTAAAATGCTTGAAGAGGGAACTAGTCCACACAGAGGGGAATGAGGGAGACAGAGATCAGAAATAAAGAAAAAAAGATGGTAGCTGCCTGAAGAATTATGAATCCCATAGGGTTTGGCTGAATTTCCCGTAATTGGGTTCGCCGGATTTCTCTATTTTCTTAAAAAGTAGCTTCCCTTTTGCTTGGTCTAGCTTGAGTGTGTTTCTCTTTCTAACCACCTAATGATTCATAATAAATTTAAAAAAAAGTAACACGAGCCAATCTGGAAGATGTCCTTCCTCATCTATAACTCAAGGAAGAACAAGAGACCCTGTGCCAAGAGAATCAGGTTCTAATTCCTGCTATGTGACCTTGAGCAAGTGACTTACTTCTCTGAGTTCTGATTTTCTTACTGAAGAATCTGAAGATCAACTCACATGCGGTTTTAAAATTATGAAAGATAAAGATGGGGAGAGATATTTTAGGTCCCTTTAAACCTTGGACTCACTGTGGGACGGAGCATACAAAATTATTTTAAAGATAGTGGCCAAGACTTGATATTAGAGTCTGTTGCTCTGGGCTCAAGAGTCAGTCAAGCTACAACTTACCAGTCAAAGGACCAATGAAACATTACTTAAGTCTTCTAAGACTAAGCTTCTTCATGTTTAAAACAGGAAGGAAAGTCTATCTGCCCCAGTGATCCCTGTCTTATGGTCCTCAAGCCCTTGTGGTCCACTCCCACGTTGAATAGATAGGGTTACTGGTATAACCAATAGGATATTGTGGAGGCAATGAAGTGTAAGTTCTGAGGTTAGATCATAAAACAAAAGGTCATCGTGGCTTCTGTATTGTTCTCTTGGATCGCTCACTCTAGGGGAAGGCGGCTGTCATGAAGTGAAGACACCAAGCTTCTATGGAGAGGTCTATGTGGCAGGGAACTGAGGTCACCTGCTCACAGCCATGTGAGTGAGCCATCCTCCAGCACCAGTCAAGCCTTCAGATCTTGACTGCTCCCACAGGAGAGACTCTGAGCCAGAACCACTCAGCTAAGTTAAATTCTTGACCCACAGAAGCTGTGAGATAATACTTGCAGCTTAAAGCTGCTAAGTTTTTTCGGGGTTGGGGGGGGGCTGTAATTTTTTATACATCACTAAAAAGCTAGCATAGGACTGTTGGCAGGAGTAAATAAAATCACGCGTGAGAAGTGTTTAAGACAGCGCTTGGCACACGGTGAACATTCAGGGCACGTCTATCTGTTCATGAATGTACGTGAAGCACCCAGAGCCGTGCCTGGCATATGGTAAATGCTCTTAAAATATGTGTTGAATGAATGTTAGATGTTGTTAACTTTACTACCATTATCACCAGCCCCATGATCTGTCACCTCAATCCAAAATCACTTCCCAAATGAGCTAGACTCTCAAATTTCTTGACTTGGAAAAATTTCTTTACCTTAATCTTCTCTGAAAAATGTCGGAATAAACCATTCGAAAATCCCAAAGCCAGAGAAACAAGAATTCGAACTCTATGCTCAGGGCTGGCATTTGTATAACTTTCCAGATTCGCATGTACCTTGTTCATTATCCTCAACCATATTTAGATGAAATAGAAGAGTATATTATGCATGGTACACACCTAGATGAACGCCTAGAGAGAAATGTACAACCAGCTACTTACCATCGACACAGGAAGGTCGGTTTCTTGTCGTTCCAGCCACTTTCCCAGGTAGACAGGAACACTTTACTGTTTGTGACCGCTCCTCAATGCGATTCTTATTACAACATCTGTGCGCCGCTATCACTTCACATGTCCCTCCTTCTGGCAAGAGAGAAGGAACAGGGACACTGATTAGAAATGACTCAGTGGCCATTCAGGCCTGTGGGGATATGTGTGGAGGTGTTGGGAAAAGTGAGAGAAATTATAGAAATAGTTTCCATGAAGTATAATTACCAATGGGTTCTCTCCCACTATATATGATGTGATATATATGTATACACACATGTATATATATTTATGATATATATATACATATACATGTATATAAGATTATATAAAAGGTATGCGTAATTTTGGAGAAGACAGGCATTATAGCATTATACTTCAAATGCAACCGAGAACACCAATGAATAGCCCTTAAGAGGCAACAATTCCAGGCCACATGTACTCAGAGGCAGTGGAGCAGTGGATGCCTGGAGCTAACACAAAATAAAGACAATCCTGATTTAAATGCATTATATTTTGGGAGCTCACTCCTGTGTTATCTTAGCATTTAGAATTCTCTGAGCTCCCACTAATGACAAGCAACTGACACTCCAGTGATACAGAACCTGTAGAGGCAGGAAAACTGCCCAGAAATTAGCATTCCCTCCCACTGCCTGCCCACCCTCAAGGGGGCTGAATAGAAAATCTAGTTGGGGAGTCATTTCCCAAATCCAGGTCTCATCCAAAAATGATAGAAACAATTGCTGGAGAAAATGGGTCTGTGCTTTAAATGGCATCTCAAATTACAGACCTGGGCATATGGTTTCACTTAAGTGTTACAGGTCAGCTGTGCATTCATCAACATTTATTGGCAACCTAACATTTGTCACTCTCCACTAGATTCTAACAGGCACACTGCCGAGTCTGTCTAAGGGTTGGTGAGCACACAGGTGGGTCTTTCCAGCCTGCAGGACATCAGCTAAGCCAGTTCTCTAGGGACACAAAAGATTCTCCAAGTGCCTAGAAACCAGGAATTACCTTACCCAACATCAACTTTTGCATTCAGGAAGAATGTTTTTCATTTGACAAGAATGAGCTTAGAACATTTAGGATTCTTGGCATTTAGGATTCAGTTGGCAGAGATTCAGCAAGCATTTGTTAAGCAACCGCTATATATAAGTGATTGTGTTATAAACTGTAAGGGATATGTATCCAGCCCATCCATGGTGAGCATTTGGGAAAGAGCGGAAAAAAGGAGAGGAGCGAGGGAACATGGGAGAGAAGAAGGGAGGAGGGCAGACAACACACAGCTGCACCTGTCCTGAGAACATAGCCTAATGCAGTGGTTCTCAACGCAGACGTGGGAGGTTGGGTGATTTTGCTGCTCTCCCTCCCCACCACACTTGGCGAAGTCTGCAGACATTTTTAATGTTTCATTACTGGTGGAGGGTGGGTGCTCCTGGCATCTAGTGGGTGGAGGCCGGGGATGGTGCTAAACATTGCACAATGCACAGGAGAGCTCCCACAACAAAGAACTAACTGACTCAAAATGTCAATAGTACTGAGGTTGAGAAACCCTGGTTTCAGATGAAAGAAACCCCCACACGGATCTCTGACTTAAGGCAGAGTAATTTTGCCTCCTTCAATGGGAGGGAATAGTTGGGGCTTTCAAACCAGCCTGTTTTAGTCTGAATCCCAGCTCTGTCACTTACTACCTGAGTGCCTCAATTTCCTCATCTGTAAAGTGGGAATAAAAATAACACCTGTCTCATAGGGTTGTGTGAGTATAAACCAAGATAACACACATATAGGGGTTAGCATTGAGCCTGACACAAAGTAAAGAGTCCATATATGCTACCTATGATAAAAATATTGATGTTATATTTCTTTGAGGATGCTTCCCTCCTTTCTGCCTCAGAAACTTTGCGAGTACGATTTTCTTGGCATACTCTCTCCTACCTCCCATCCCTCCACCCCCAACTCAAAAGCATTCAATTAACTCTCCCTTGAACTGAACGCGAAGGTCAGTTCCTTAGAGAACTTCCCCTAGCTTTCACTATTGTTCATTCTCTGAGTACACCACACATTTCCTCTCGCAATTGTAACTACACTGTGACCGCAGGCAAACTCTAAGTGGGGTCAGGGTCAGGGTTGTTGCTTGTTTCCTTACAGCCCTATCATTAACAACTGCTGTAGGGACTCCATAATTGTTGGTTGAACAAATGAAAGAATAAGTGAATTAATTAAAATGAACACTATAATATAGAACCAAGTTTTGTGGACTTTGGTGGATGGGGAGACCCAATTGTTTTCAAAGATCTAGGAAGGCTCCTTAAGTTCTGCATTGAAAGGTAGGGCTTCACCGGGCAATGATGAAGGGCAAGCATTTCACTAATGTGAGAGACTGGTGCCTTTTTTAAAAAACAATCTTTTAATTGTAGAACACTTTTAGATTTACAGGAAATTTGTGAAGATAGTGCTGAGGGTCTCCACATATGTCATACCCTATTACTTCCTATTTTATTGCCCTAATTTCAATATATTAATATGGTACATTTATTACAATTAATAAGCCATTATTAATACATTATTATTAACTAAAGTCTATGCTTTATTCAGATTTCCTCAGGTTTTACCTAATGTCCTTTTTGGTTCCAGGATCTCATCCAGGACACCACCACATTACATTTAGTTGTCTTATCTCCTTAGGCTCCTCTTGGCTATGACAGTCTCTCAGACATTGCTTCCTATTTTCACGACCTTGACAGCTTTGAGCAGTGTTGGTCACGTATTTTGTAAAATGTCCCCCAACTGAGATTTATCTGATGTTTTTCTCATGATTAGACTGAGGTTATGTGTTTTTGGAGGAAGACTACAGAGGTAAAGTGTCAGTCTCATCACATCATATCAAGGGTACATACTATCAACCTCACTGATCACTGTTGATGCTGACCTTGATCACTTGGCCAAAGTAATGCTTGTCAGATTTCTTCACTGTAACACTACTCTTCCCTCCCCTCGACCCTGTCCCCTTCCACACTGTCCTCTTTGGAAGGATGTCACTATGTGCAGCCCATACTTAAGGGGCGAGGAGTTAAGCTCCACTTCCTTGACGGTGGATATCTACTTGAATAATTGGAAATTCTTCTGCATGGCATATTTGTGCCCTTTTCCCCATTTATTTACTTATTCAATCATTTGTATCAGTATGGACTCATGGATATGTATTTTATACTTTGGGTTATAATCCAATACTCTATTATTCTTTATTTGCTCAAAATGTTCCAGCTTTGGCCATTGTGAGCTCTTTCAATTGGCTTCTGTGTCCCCCTTTTTTTTAGTGGGGGGACTTTCTTACTTTCTGGCCCTACAAGATGCTCCAGGCTTATCTTGTACATTTCCTGTCCTAGAATCAGTCATTTCTCTAAGGAGCTGGTCAGGGCATTTTAAAAAACACATTAGATTAGGTGGAACTGAGGCCCTGAGATAGGACTTAACTGGAGAGGGCTCAGTATGATCCTATGCTGCAGGGAGGCACAAATGGGCATTTTGAAGTGAAGGACTGATGTGATGTGGATATTGCTCCAGAGTGACCACCTTGACCTTTGGGTTCAGGAGCAGTTGGAGAAGCGCAAGGTGGCAAAGCAGAAGAAAAGAAAAGGCCATTGCAAAATTCTGAGCTGGAAGTAAGCAGGCTTGAACTTGGATCATGAGAAGAGTCTCTCACTCTCACCATCTGCCCATCACTGGGATTAGAGTTAATAGAACAATAGGGCTAATTGCACACAATACTCTTTAACCCAGACACCTGTAATCAGGTCACTTCAGCTTAAAATTGTCAGCTACAAGCACCCTCAGTCGAGCCAGTAATAGCTCGTTCTATGCTGCATGAAAATACCACTAACGTTAAAGTCACCACTTGGCTTTAATACAAGACTGGAGCAACATTTGTGATTGAAAATAGCACAAGGCATATGAAAGCTCCCAGGACGTATTTTGAATCTCATTTGATTTATAGTCAAGCCAGCAGACACAGTGACAGACATGCCAGATCGTCTGAGTTACTGCACTGAGTTAAATAATACAGACAACAAGGTGGCCATGAGCCCCAAAGGCAGTCCCTCCTGGCACTGTTGTAGATGAGCCAAAGGAGTGGTTCCGCGTCATCTCAGCACCCGCTGACATTTAGGAAGCTCTGATTTGGGTGCTGGCACTGTATTCGGCACTTTACCTACATTAATTATAAAACTCCCGGCAACTGTACAAGGTAATATCCCCACTTTACAGATGAAAAGTTCATGCTCAGAGAGGTTGAATAACTTGCCCAGAATCACACAAGTGTGACCCAGGTCTGTTGGACTCTAAAACTCATGCATTTTTTTTTTTTATCCTGTCACAAGTAGTCATTCTTTGTTGATGAAAAACTTCCGAAAGGAAGTCTAACAGTTGGCCTAGGATAGTTACCAAGGTTAAGTATCTAATTTACCCCTACCCCACAAATGGACCTGATTTGCTACCACCTGTCTCTCCTTCTCTCTGCTCCAGGGACATTGGTGTCCTTGTAGGCTGTTGACTGAACATGGCAGGCGTGATGCTTCTTGAGGATGGCTCTAAATCCAGGGAGGCGTTGTTCTAAATAAGAGGCTTGACAAGCTAAATTATGCACCACATGGGACACACTTCTGGTAGGTCTCTGGCTCATTCCCTCACCTCTTCCATATCTTTGCCACGTGTCATTTTATCAGAGGCCCACTTGACCACCCTATTTAAATCATAAGTCCTTCCGCCAGCACTCATGATCTCCCTTACATTGTTCTATGCACCCCCATCCCCACCTCCAGGGGACCTGCAACTTTCAAATATAGTATATAATGTGCTCATTTATTATACTTATTGTCTGAGTCTCTCCCTGGAAGATGATCTCAAGGATAGGGATTCCTATTGTTTTCTTTATTAAACATTGTCTGTAATGTTATTATTAGGGTTGAAAAGTACTTTTAAGACATATTTCATTTAATCTTCAAAACAGTTCAAAAATAGAAATAGGACTACTGTTATCCCCATTTGCTAGTGAGGATGCAGACTTAGAGCAGTCAAATGACATAGCCACTTAACTA